TGACTACCTTTCCGTGGACTGTATTCCCGTTTCATTGTACCGAATGGGCCGCCCAAGCCCTTCTTATAATAGGATTCTCAAAGTTGTTTTGCCAAACTCATTTTTTGCCGGGCTTGTTTTGAGGCGAGCACCTCGCTTGAGATACTTTCCGCTCCAAAAAGGTGTCTTCATAAGGCCTTCCTGGCCAAGGAAGACCGGGAACGGAATCGTATTGAAAGAGAGGCGCGCAACAAAAGGGCTAACGGTAGTAAATCGGTTGTCAACAGTCAGAGTTTCACTGTCAACAGTCAAGATACAGCTCATGTAGGGCACAGTAGTATTGCACCATCTCATGGGCCTGGTGATGAAAATAATTTTAGGAATGTTGCTCCTAATTCTGCTCATTCAGTAAGGTCAAACATGTAGTTTCTCCTCGGATGTATGATGCTCGTTTGAAGTGCCTCTTGGCCAACATCCGCTCTCTCTCAAAAATGTTGGGGATCTCCTATTTCGGATCAGGAATGAGAACTTCGGCGTGGTAGCTCTTACCGAGACATGGTTGTCTGATGTTGTTAGTAATGAGTCCTTATTCGGGGAATATTGTAGTCAATACGATATTCTCAGGTGTGATAGGCCCAGCAAACGTGGTGGTGGTGTCGCACTTGTCGCGAGTAAATGTTTGTACCCATGTGTCATATTCAAGGAGTCCCTAGTAAACGCGTATGAACTCATGGTTAGTTGACTTGGACGTGGCATATTCTAGGATCAGGATTGCTTTAGCCTATAGGGCCCCATCATGTTCTGCGCCATATGTTTGAACAGTTAATTAAAGCAATTGGCGATCTGGCATGTAGCGATACTCATTTCCTTTTACTCGGAGACCTGAATCTTCCTGATGTTTTATGGCGTCGGGGAGAAGTCCCAAAGCCAGTGGGCTACGCGCTTTGCGCTTTATTGAATTGTGTCGTAGTCTGAACCTTCATCAATTAGTTTTTGAAAAGACTCATGGCTCTAATATATTAGATCTTCTCCTCGTCAACAATTTGGAGCTTGTTACAAGTACACAGGTTCTAGCGCCTATTGGCAGTAGCGACCACTCGTCTATCCAATTTGAACTCAACATCGAGGTTGATCGTGAAATCATTACAACATTCAAACGAGATTTTAAGGCTGCAAATTATGACCTAATTGTAGAATATCTCAACGATGTAGACTGGTACGCATCTTTCAATAATGTCGACTCTGTCAATGACAAATATGAAATGTTTTTGACTATTCTCAATCATGCGATTGAGTTATTTGTTCCTCTTAAGACGCAAAAGACTAGTGGAGACCCGCTACCACAGTACTTAATCAGGTGTAATCACAGAAAGAATCTAGCATGGAAGCAAGGCTATAGCTAGCGGGAATTCTGAAGATTGGCACGAGTATAAGAAGATTAGCTCCATTTTTGAGAGAAAATTATACAAATTTCGTAGTCATATTGAAAAGAACGTTATTAGTTCCAAGAATAAGAATGCGTTTTATAGATTTCTCAACTCAGACTGAAGAAAAGCAAAGGTGTATGTGTTTTGTTCTCAGAGGATGGGAAAGCCGCGCGTCAGGATAGGGAGAAAGCCGAGCTTCTGGCCGACATATTTGAGAAAGCGTATCAAAAGGAGGTTGATCTCGCCGAAGTGGAGACTAGTCCCTCATTTCCTGTTATGAGCGATTCCCTTTGGTTTCAACGAGAAGAAATACACAAGTTACTGGCTAGGTGGCCTAAATCTCGTTCGGATACACCTGATCATATTCCGCTGGTGTTCATCAAAAAAATAGCATTCACCATTTCGGGACCACTGGCGTTTATCTTCAACTTGAGCTTCATGAAGGCTGAAGTACCAGAGCGATGGCGTATGTCGTTTGTCACCCCCATTCCCAAAAAGGCTCCACATTCTTGCCCCTCAAATTACAGACCTGTGAGCATAACCTCCATCTTTGCTAGGTTGTTTGAGAAGGGTTTGAAAAAGAGAATTGTAAGCCATTTGGAGAAGTATGATGTCATTTCCGAGCAGCAGCATGGCTTCCAAAAAGGTAAGTCTACAGCGACAGCCATGCTACAAGCGCTCAATGACTGGACATATTACCTCGATGAGGGGCTAGGAGCGGATGTAGTTTATTTGGACTTCGCTAAGGCGTTCGATAGGGTTTCTCATACCAGGATGGTAGCCAAACTGATCCATGTAGGCATTCACCCCAGGATTGTGGCGTGGATTAAGGCCTTTCTTACTGATAGGTCTTACTCTGTTCGAGTCAATGGCGAATTTTCCAAACCCAGACCAGTGCATAGCGGAGTGCCACAAGGGTGTGTCCTATCACCTGTCCTCTTTAATATCTACACCTTTGAGTTACCTCGTTTGGTCAGTTCTAAAGGGGTTAAATGTGTGGCCTTCGCAGATGAGATGATACTTCAAAAATACCACCCAATTTCATCCGCTCATGATAAAGAGTTGCTACAGGGGGCTATAAATGATGTCATAATTGGGCTATGCAATGGGAATTGCCCTTATCTAAGGAGAAGACCAAGGTGTTACGGAATCGGAGGGGTTCACCTGGAGGTGGTGAAAGAAATGAAAGACCTTGGTTTTCTCTTAAGAAGTGATCTCAGCTTTGAAGAACATTGCTCTGTAATCGCCTCAAAAGCAACGATTGTAATGTATAATTTATTTCGATCTTTCTTGACGAAAGACCCACGTGTTCTATGCAGTGCTTATAAAATATATATCAGGCCCATACTAGAGTATGGGACTGTAGTTTTAACCCTCACAAGATAAAAACTGTGAAAGCTCTGGAAAAAGTTCAAAATAGTTTCACGAGAAAGGTTTTTATGAGAACTGTTGGGTTCAGATATGACAATATACCGAACAGTGACGTACGTAATCTCAACCTCGGTCTTGAGTCACTTGCGCTTAGGAGGAAAAAATTCGACCTCTTGACATTTTTTAAGATCCTTCATTTTAAAACTGGTCTCAGCCCAACACCTTGTTTGCATTCCGGGAGTCAAGGACGAGGGGTAGTTCAATGAAAGTAGTGACTCGCAGGGCTAAACGCAACGTCAGGCACCATTTCTTCGTTAACAGGACCTCTCTGGAGTTCGAAAGGCTGGTCAGAATGGGGGTATCTACCAACAAATTCAAGCTCATTCAAAGCCGCTTTAAACAAGCATCTTACATCATAGTCTTTGCTTCTCTTTCATACGCTGTGTCACGATGTTCTCCACTGTTTATGTTGGTTCGCACGTTGTTTCTGCTACGGTTGTTTTGTTGTATGTTTTCTCGTTTTTTTTTTTTTTTGCAATCACACACAGAATTATCTGTGTAATAAACAAATACAAAGTACAAAACTCGTCCAACACGCCCCTTCTCTATCCCAAGGTGGGACTCAGCTGAAATGGAGGATGTGCTTATTAGGAGAGTGATCGAAGATTTATCTTGCTTTCTTCTTCTTTCCCAGACCACTCTTCACCTCCAGCTTCATTAATGAACTCTCTAAGACATCCATTTTATCCCGAAACATGCCTTTAACGGCCCCATGTGACAAACTGTTGATATACCATACACCAACATACCAATAGTGCTACCTAGTGATGCATATCCGGGAGTGGAAAGCATTCTACGAACGGGCCGCGCAAAACAATCTTGGGGCCTTGAAATGCAGGCTGTCGACTAAAATTTACCTTGTGTAAAAATTTCAACGTCTAAACAATTGTACGAACTCAACAACGCAGTATATGAAAAAAAGCCCTCAACCCGTGTGGAAGCTCCAAAATTGTTCGAGGGCTTAATGAAGGCCCCCTGCGTGCGCATTTTTCGTCCCAAGGGCGCCGCTTGGCACTATCTAATGCTTAATCGGCTTCGTACTGCAACGGTTCCAGTGGACATCTCTACAAAAACAGCAGACACTCATTAGAAAACTGCTGCTGATGTTCGTCACTGTCCGTTAAACGCTCTATATTCCAAAAAAAACCACTTCAGATCTAAGTTCATGAAAGGGAACGACCATTTCAATGAGCTCTGCTGAGGTTGCAGGAGTTCATGTGCAGGAATCCCTACAATATTTTCGTAAGGAATTTGGTTTATTCCTTTTTTGTCACGTTCATTTGGGCTGCTAGTATAATCGTGGTCTTTGATCCCACAACGTCAGCTAAACATTTGGTTCTCATTAAGTAAGAAGGGAGAGAGGTGGGGGGGGGAGCCAGTGCGACACTTACCGCCATCGATAGAACTTCCTATGATTGGAAGTCGAGAAAATCCCGTGTGCGTGAACCACTTCAATTCCGCTTTTACACTCACCCCAGAGCTTTTCTTACTGCGAAAAGCTGGATCACCTCATGCGATATGAACTGTCGCACCTCATGTCCCCCCTTACTGGATGACTCAGAATTTTTTCTGGTCACATTTATAGATTATTGGAACTAGCTTCCAGAAAATCGGAAGCGCGTCGAGTGGAGACCACACACCACAAGTGACGACGGAATCCAAGTAAATCTGGTTACTAGTGTTCATAGTGATAGCTGATTAGTTGGTAAATGATAGTTGTAATTAGTGACAACTGATAGAATACAACAACGGCTAATCATTTCATTGGCAGAAAACATTTACATTTTGTGGAGGCCGTCGTCACTTGTGGTGTATGGTCTGCACTCGACGCGCTTCAGGTTCATTGAAGCAGAAGGTAGTTGTCAACTAACCCATTATTGATCGGTTTTGTTATTAACCTCATTCAATATTTCGTCCATCGAGGTGAAACATCCACTTGGCTATACTATCTCCTTGATCAACACCTGATTTGTCTGAAACGCATTGCCATCTATCGATATTTGTACCGTTCCGTGGCCCGACTTGCTTTCACAAATTATGGCAAGCTTGGTGGGTATAGACATCTATTGAGAGTTAGCGCAGTGGGATTGTATAAAAGCCATAGGTATCTATCAGTAAACGGACTTCTATGAAGGTCCGACAGAGTTATACTTCAAAAATCGTTTCGATATGATTGAGATGAATAAATATAGGCGCAATTGGCGGGGGGGGGGGGTTAGGGGCAGTCGCCGAGCGCGATCTCTGCTCGTCCGCGCCCTGTAGTACTAAGCCTAGGAGTGGGCAGGAACTTTGGG